AATGGGCAACCAAAACCCGCGCACGAGAGTGCATGGTTAATGGTTGTAAAACTGAAACTGTTTGCAGAGTTCGATTGTTTGCTCTGTGTCGACCTTAGAAGTTTACCTCCTCCCTCCCTCGAAATGGGTCCAATCCCTATCCACCTTAAATTTTACCACTAACCTTGTATGCATTGCGAGTTTGGCAGCGACCAGCGAAGTTCGCTTATCACTGTATTTCGCTGTACGAGGATGATGTTGATGATCTGCAATGATCGCCGACCTTGATCAGATGCATCGTTTGGCTATCCTGTATATACTGTACTCCAACCGATAAAAAGCTTTGATTCACCCCTCCTTACCGTCTGAAGGTCTTTTTCAATGGATTACGATGACGATTGACTTGGTTTGGATAATGTAGTTATCAAACTTGTAGGCTCGAATACAAACGCTTGCATTTTCCTTACGTGTTTCCATCACAGATTTACTCATCTATTCATGGGCGGATGCTGAAAGCTGTTTTAGGAACGTCTAAAAATTGTGCCCAATCTTTTAGCACGGAATGGCAACTTTATTCTGTTCTACATTCAGATTAGATCCGGGAGTGGTATCATACTCCTGTCGTAGTATTAGTTCACATTTTCAATCGTTCTTTATAGTGAATGTTAGATTGTAACTTCACATTAGGGTCTTTCATATGATTGCTGCTTGAAAAATCAAAAATGGTTATTGTGACTCACTCATAAGTGAAAATGAAACTTTTGTCGCAGGTTCTATGAAAATGCAGTTAAATTAATCATATAAACAGATCTTTTCGAAAAAGGTGTTTATACGTCGTTTCAGTGGTCAAGAGATAAATGGAATAGCAAACAATAAGGGTTGAAGAAGTGCGCTTGAAAACCCTGGTGGTCCATGCTGTTGTGTAATGAACACTCGAAGTGTTCAATAAAAGCACATTTTTGTCCTTCTGTTTGAACAAGGACCCAGTTGCTTTCGATCTCCTCATATTGCCGCACAAAAAGACCACATCGCTTTGTCTACATCCAGCAAATGATTTATAAATTGCCTCCGTTGTGACAGTTTTTTTGTCGTCCGGTTCAATACCACGCCCAACCTAGCGGGGCCTTTTGTGGTTCGCCACTCCAAGTCCCAGGGCTTAGGTCACCGGTTTTCATGACAGAGCAGGTCTTCGTGACTGTGGAGTTAGCCCCGTCTGCTGTTCACCACACACAGTACTGTGTTTCAAACACCCTGTTGAAAACGAATGATAAACCGCAATGGTCAGGAAAATCCATTCATCAAACATTGCTCCACAAGCTCTATTGTATTGTGAACTACCATGTATGCCTAAAACTAACACTACTAGCGCTTCTGTCGGAAAATGCTTTTGATGACGTACCGGATGGGCGTGACATACGCGGGCTACATCCTCGGCAGATGCTCCATATTCCATGGCAAGACACGCTTCGTTGATCAGTTCACCAGCAGCCGGACCGAGAAGATGCACTCCGAGGATACGATCAGTCTCCTTATGAGCGAGAACTTTGAACATGCCATCGGTTTCATCATTGGTCTTAGCACGGGAGTTTGCGGACATCGGGAATTTTCCAATCCTGGAAGTAAAGAGAGGTCGGTGACATCGGTTAGCAAGTACAGTACAGCACAGGGCATCAAACGTCCCGGATGGTGCTACGCGTAGTATAAGGGGATGAACTGTGTTGTCGGAGAAAAACTTCGATAACATTCATACCTTAAAACTGAGCTAATAGTATCCTTATCAGCAATTCAAGAACGATAGCAACCGCTTCCCGGATCGTAAGGACATGTATTTATATCGCGTCATCATCTGTCGGTTGTATGTGGCTACAGTTTTATTAAAAGCAATACTACGGTATGCCGATCGTATATATATAGCGCTGGACACGTGTCCCATGTGATGCGGCTTCAAAGCTTGGCGCTCAAACGGAGGTGACTCAAAGCCTCCGTGAAAGTAGTTGGTTGTCTTGCAGAAAAAACCCGAAATACATCAAACCAATAGAATACCAACACTTACTTGAATGGCAAGTTGGCCTCTTTGCATTGTTCTTCCGATCGACCGACCCAGGCGCATTCAGGGTGGGTATAGATGACACTGGGTACGCAGTTGTAGTCAATGTGAGTCGATCCACCAAGCATACCTTCAACGCAGAGGACACCTTCGTCCTCGGCTTTGTGAGCGAGCATGGGTCCGGGGATGCAGTCGCCAATGGCGTAAATGCTAGGGACATCAGACAAGAACACAAGTAAGTCATAACGCAAATCCTACTTTAAGAGACCGAAAAACATATGCACATACCATCATCGACACATTCGATGTATATATGGATTAAATATGGTGGCGGAAATATAAGTGACTCCCAACGTCCAAAAATTAGTTAATATATCAAACTCAAGTAACTTGGACGGACCACGTACACAAACACCGGCTTGTTCTCCGCCCAGTCATGTCGGTGGACTTATATCGTAAGAGCCTTGTGCAGAGGAAGGTCACCTATAACGCCTCAAAGTGACCAAACTGCTAGAACAGCTCAACAAAACTACCAGCTCACACAAAAGACTGCGACAGCCATCATCATCACCATCATCGTACAACGAGATACAGTGCAGTGAGCTTCACTGATCGCTGCCAAGCTTACAATGTACACAAATGAAGTGACAAAGCACAAAATGGAGGGGGGTTGAGTCTATTTGGGAGGATGCAAGGGAAGGAACCTCTATGGTCAACACAGAGTACAGAATCTAAGTGTGCATGTATACCTTCTCAAGCATTCTGATCTGATAAGAAATGACAAGGACGCCACTGCTGTCCGTTGGTTGTCATGTCCTTTAGTTTCTCCAACCAACAAGTTGCAGTCTTTTGGACACCAACCTAGAAGACAGGAGATACCGATTAAACCTAATCGCTTTGTGCATGCCTCGTTTCCACTTCATCTGTTGACCTCCAGGAGGAGGAGCCGCAACTGCGAATGAGGAGCGATGCAGTAGACGATGACTGGGCATGCGCAATACGTGTCCTAACCAGCGAAGCTGACTAATCTGAATTCGATGGGACGACAAAGTCCCCATTGAATCATTACCGAATAGGCGACGCCTCATCTTGGTGTTGCTTACACACTCGCTCTATCCATCCCGAGCCAAACGACGTAAACAATGTATTGTATTGTTTTGTAATAACTTCTACAAGCATAAAGCCCACATCGGCAGTCGAACACCTCTAGACAATGAACATCTTCCACGCGCAAACTTAGGGTCTCACAACCGTAGAGCAGAACTGACCGCACACTGGCGCAGTATACACGACCTTCCAGTTTCAACGAAACATCGTGTCTGCATCAAAGGCGTTTCAGTCCTGCGTAAGCTGATCGAGCCTTGGAAATGCAAGTGGTTACTTCATTGGCTATGCTGCCGTCATTTGTAGCGCAGCTATCTAAGTAGGTGAAACATTCCACTATAACGAACTCTTGATCGCCAAGCATCGGTGCTGGAGTAGACGACACCCAATCTTGTAGCATCACTTTGCAATTTGAAGGTGCAAAGCACATGCCGAAAGGAGTTACAGAACTTGCTGGTTTGTCAGTGAACAGACTCAATGCACGACCAATCAAGTGTGACTGGAACGGACAACTTCGGAGCGAGGGGAAGAACTACAAAGTAGAGAGGATTTTCCAAATGGGTGCCTACCACTTTAAGGCACGGTACACTGTGCGTCATCCCACATCGACGAAGGGTTTTTTGTTTGGGAACCCTGACCGTAGCCTTCGACTTAAAAGTCTGACCCACAAGGTAGTGGAACGTAGATCCAATGTGGGAGATTGACCGAAGCACCCGTGTTGGACCTTTCACGCAAGGCATTTGTTTTGCGATTCAGTGTGGTTTGCTGGCACTTTGATTGACGGTCCACTGTTCGGATCGGACAATTATGGAAGCAACCCAACACATAACTGGCGGATAGGTCCATTTATTAGGTCAAATAGAAAACAACTGACCAGTGAGTGATTATTTTGCTATTGAATATTCCACTTGTTTTTTCACACATATTTCAAGTGACAACCCAGAAGATAAGTCAACCCGATGTACCAACACGTCCAACTCTCACGTAGAAAATGGCTTACCAATTTCTTTTTATTACACATCAATGTGCTAATCCCCAATTATTCACTCATGATAATCGACAACCCACTCCTTGAAAGTGGGAGTGACGAACCACGTAAGGTTCCGATACGGCAATATTGTTACTGAGTCGGACCACAGCAAAGCTGCTTACAACCAAAATTGGATAGCTATGGCAGGATTCTAATATTGGACCCCAATGCATGCTAGCGACTTAAATCGCTTGACCACCAAACCTCTTCCTTTCTGAAATTGACCTCAGGTCCCCCACAGAAACCAAGGGCCCAAAAAGTGCAGAAGGCATGGTGGAAAACGAACCCAGTTTCTAGGATAACGATTATCGGACACTGACCCGTGACAATTTGACTTGATTCACCGGGTCGACAAACAATGTAGTGTACCCGATAAGAAAAGAAAAAAGGATGTTGTCTAGTCGGGATACTTGACGCTAACACGTACACTTACTTTACAGCGGCTGGCTCCTAGGAAAGGATATACCGGCTCCAGACATGATCATGATCAAAATCATGGAGTTCCTTGGGAGTTTGGTATGAGAGACGTTTCCAGCGTCACTCGGTGACGAGCCTGGTGGCATTTAGCTCTACTTAACTTACTTATCCAGGCAACACGTACATCAGCACTATAGAGGAAAAGGAGCAGGTAAACGACTGCGAACTCGCCCGTATTAGCTCAGGTTAGCATCGTGATGTACTAATCTGACGTTCCACATTTAGAACGATTGCGCAACGCAAGTTACGGGGTCCAAGTCAAAATTGTATCAAGCTGAAGCTTTTCATGCCCCACAGTTTGTGAGTATAGCTGATGTCTTGCGTTTGAAAAGTATATGGTCTAACCTAGTTCTACTGTTTGCGTAGTTTCATATGTGTGGAAATATAATGCTTATTAATCGTTCGCAAGTTACAATCAATTGCCCACGTACAAAATACGCCAAATGGTAGGGGATTCCATGTAGTGCACACTTTAAGGGCAACAGGATGATTACGGCATTCCAGTCGACATTTTCGGAGCACTGAGTGTCTCCTGAGCAGGATGTTGGGAGTGGAGCCTAACCCAAATGATTCCAGTTCATTGACATAAATACTACAATGTAGTCCATCATTAGCTTGGTGGCTATCGTATGTGGATGTACCAAGCCCTTGCGATCAGATTGCAGCCGTAGAGTTCCAGATTGAATAGTTTACTCAGCGTGTAGTCCAATTTTCGCTGGGTTCAGTTTTCACTCATACAACCATTCATCGTGCACTTTAGTGTGGCGATTTCGGTTGCTGTCCGTTTGGATCAAGCGGTGGGGCGAAGAGTGGAATGTTGAAAGCACGTTCAGTGTGAACGTGAAGAATTCAGTTACATTCGGGTTGCAGCAATAAACAGCAATATGCACGACACTCAGTCACGGCAGTCTCCAACCATCGGTTACGCTGGTCCAGAGTTAAGAGATGTGAGAAAAGTGGCAACTCAAATCGACCGAAGACACGCACTTTCGAACAGTTGGTGGAACAGTTTAAACCGTTTTAGATGGGAACTCCAAGATCTGCTTCATTTGAGGCATGTGGCAACTGTTGGTGTTCGGAGGTACGTTAATAAAAATCTGATCGGTTAGTGACCTACCAGCTGCAGGCTCTGTTTCCGTTCGGTTCTCCTGTGACAAGGATATTTGATGTAATTTTGCTGTGCGTAAAGTTCATTTTGGTGGCACTGCAATCAACTCTGGTCAGCAATGCTCTCCCGAGGACGACAATAATTTCAACAGGGCGAAGTGGATAATTACACTGCTACGCTGCAAATTTTTACATGGTTCTTCGAACATCAAAAACTGTCAAATACCTTAAATACAAAAGACCTAGGGGATCGAAATCTACCCTGACAAGTTCAGTTTGTTCTCTCGACCACTAAAATCGCACCATTGTCAGACGGTTCCGGTTGCAGTCTTTCGGCTAACCATTTGATTGAGCAATGCGAGAGAAAAAGAGCAGTAGGCAGGAAAGTTTTAAGCTTTCGAAATAACGACTAGGAAAACAAGTGAAGAAGCTTTGTAATGGAAGTGAGTAGATGTATAAAAACCACGATACTCTACTATATCAACATTGAATAGGTTCCTCACGAGGTCGGAAACTGGCAAGTAGTGTAACCGAGAGTCACAGAGTGGTTTTTGGAATGGGTAACCTAAGTGCTAAGAATTGAAGTATCAAACCACTTA